AATATATTATGTGTCAGGCAGTCATTCATGCAATGGTATGTAAAATCATGATCCTTTTTAAACAGCTACTTCAATTAGGGTACAATATTCAGAAATCAAATATTTATTTATCTATCACTGGACAACTATTTGGAAGTTGAAAACAAACATTTTAGCATTACAACAATTATTAAATGATCAATATGTTTTGATTTTAAATGTAGCCAGAAACGTAATCAGAAAGTAGCAACAGAAATTGTCAAGGAGTATTAACCCAACTCCAACCACTGAATCTATTGAGAGCCATAGAAGTATAAAGGACATACACATATACACTTATAATAAGTGCAATTGCACCAAGCACATCACATTCTATTACTCATTCATCCATGCTTCCTTTTTGAATGAATGAATGAATAATTCCTGCCCGCTAAACGGATATATTTGCTTTCCCCAACAGGCCTATCTATGTAAACGATTTAGAAAAATTTCCGTTGATTCACACTTGTGTCTCGTCATCCCCTCGTCAAGTCCTGTGTATTTATAGTGAGTCCTATTCTGAGTTTCTCTCTCTGGTATTAATCGTCCATCGGTTCCTGTACTATGTGTGAGTTCATAAATCCTGTTTTCTATGTTCTCCGATGTTTCCTCGTTCCTACACAGTAGCAGCAGTCCGTGACAAGATATCTGTCTTGCATATGTTTGTAAAAAAAAACAATGTCACAGGCCCAAAACACATATTTTGAACATTAATATGCTTTTTATTAAAATGTAATTTAATGTAATTTAATAATTTGTTTAATATTTTATTTTATCCAAATGTTTACAATTAAAAAGACATATTGGACACAACAACGTCCTGTGTGAATGACCCCTAAACTGAGAGTACGCAATGTGATGATTCTGAATGATGCCTGCAGAAAGTCTCATTTTTAAAGTGAAGAAACAAAGACTAAAGTAATTGATCTCTAATGGAATCTTAAGGATTCATCATTACATTCAGAGTTTTGCTGGACTTTCTCAAATGAAGATGGAAATGACAACTGAGACTTTTCCATGTTGCACTTGATATTTCCTCTGTCATGTTAGATGTGTTGATTGAGCATGATGAGAAATTGTAAGACTTACTTCCTATAAGAATGGTTTAAGCGAGAAGAAAGATCAGTAACTGCCTCTGTCTTATGTGTCTCTCTTTTTTTTAATACACATTTTGAATACTTTTCCAACTCAAAAAAGCAATCTCTCCGAAATGCAAGTTCTCTTGAAATGATTAACAAATTCATCTCAAGACTCAAACAATAATAGTGAGTGAGATATTACTCACATTTTCTCCACATTAGTGACATAGTTTCAATACAGACCTCATTATTTAGTTGTAGTTCAAATACAAGATGAGCCTTATATAAAAGCAATTACTAAGTACATTAACTTGGCACAGACGTGGCTGCTCTCTCAATTAGAGATGAGAAGTTGTTATTTGAGTATTGCTGGTGCAAGATTAACATTAATTTCAAAAACTGAACAAATTTGAGAGCTCATATGAAGCAATTTTTAAAGATAAAAAAATGTATGATTATTATTTTCCTAATATTACTGTTACTTATCCAGATTGTCACTATGTAATGTCTACTAAGTGGCAAAGTTCTTACCCAAACTGAATAAATGCATATGAAAGACTGAGAGGTGCAGAAATATACACAACCCTTAAGGCTGTTGGACAGCCTTAAGGGTTGTGTATACCGATAGCACAAACTGCTGCTTTGTTTGTGCTATCGGTTCGACTCTGCCGTGTTAGAACAAGCGTGGTTGACTCTTAACTTTTATAAATAATATCTCTTTGGATTTGAGACTTTAGTCTTTGCAACTTTACAGATCTTCTTTATGCACCAAGAGCTTGTAACACTTCAAAGAGAAAGGAAAACTTAAAATCACATGACCCCTTTAAATATTCATCAGTAACTAATAGATTGAGTTGTGAGTGCAATAGAAAGCAGGAATTTAATGTAAAGTAATTAAGCAGTAATTTATCAGTCATCTTGACATATTTTATCATAACTTTGATCTTAATAAAAAATTATACAGTTACCAGTCGCATTAAAATTTGGTCATACTGAAATTATTAATCTCTAACAACAATATGTGCAACTAGAATTTCCATACAATTTGACAAAACAAATGACACAAATAACATTTTACAAAAATAACTTCTTTTATTTAGAATCTTTAAACTTGTGTGTGTCTGTAAAATGTTTTCCTATCCTATAATTAATCTTAATTGGAAGTGATATATCTTTAGAACAGCAAGTTTTTATATTTATATTTATACTAAGAGTTTATATTATATTATTTGATATATTCTATTTAAATCAAGAGATTTGGGGGGGGGGGGGTCAATTAATATTAAAAACATATCTTACAACTATTTCAAGAACAATTACAATAATAATATATATAGCAGCAATTACCAATTATAGACATTTTAACATTATTTTACCCATAAAAGGCAAAAAAAATCGTAGGCAGATCAATCAAAGGCAAATAAAATCACTAGAAAAACTATTTAATGATTTATCACTTTTGACCAATAGGTGGAGCTGCTCCCAAACTGATGTGGTGTGGTTAACTAGGGGTGACGATGACACACGTTTAGATTGGTGCCAATATTACAAAGAATTGCAGAAAAACAGGCTTAGATCCTTAGGGGCGCTGCTGAAGCCCAGGCTCAGATTTAGGCTGGGGCTGAGAAGGCGCCGGCTTGGCTGGCTGCTGAGAGGATGGAGCCTTCTGGCGACTTGAAACAGCCAACGCACTGGAGCACTTCGGCAGGAAGTGACACATTGCCTGTGATGACTTCTGTGCCACTGTAAACTGCTCAGCAAAACCATCCACGGCAGGGCCAAACAGTTCCTTGGGAGAGACTGGCGAGTCTAGGAAGGCGACCTTGTCAGCGTCCCTGAACTCCATTAGATTTAGCCAAAGGTGGCGCTCCAGCAGCACCACGCTTGGCCATGGCCTTGCTGATCGCCTGCGCAGTGACCTTAGTAGTGCACAGAGCCAAGTCATTCATTGTGGGCAGCTTTCTGAAGGCATCAGAACTCTGGCCGGACTTGTCCATGCTGCGGAGAAGTTTGGCCTGGAACACTTGGAACACCACCATCATGTGAGCACTGAGCCAGCCTGGCCAGCCATTGAATATGTGGTAGTCCTGTGGTAGTCCTATAGGGCTTAGATGGGTGCACTGCATGGGCTTTCAACCCAGAGGTCGATGGTGGGCACAGATGCGCAGCTATAACAACAGCTTCCTCCTCAGATCCGCCCAAGGTAATCAAGCCTCTCGCAGCCGACGAGGGGTGCTGATCCTCACGTGTGAAGCACACAGGTGAGTCAAGGCATTGCGGGTAGAGTGAAGCACAAGGGAACTGTGCCAGCATGAGTTCACTTGAGCCCGGTGTTAGAGCCCCTCTGCTCTGCTGTATCTTCCTCCTAGGGGAGGAAGAAAACGGGAGAGCAGGCTGGGGAGGACCGCCTTCGTGGAAGAAGGCAAACCGCAAGTAGAGAAGGGCAAGACTCATGCTCTCGCAGTAAGAACACTCCGTCCTGGTGAGCGCAGCCTCTGGCTCTGCCCAGACACTGCATCAAGCAGGGGTTCCCTGCATGAGCCAAACTCACGGCGCGAGATTTGCATCAACGTCACCTGGAAAATTTTCTCCGAAATTTGCTCTAATAGGCGCCGGATGGTAACAGGGATAATTCTTCTGGCTTCTTGCACTGCAAGGGGCTTCATCTCACGGCGGCGAGCAGCAGACTGAGCTTCTTTCTTCTTCTTTCTTCGGCTTCTTGCTTGCAGAGTCAGGGAGGAGATGATATTCGTCGCCGATGGAGAAAAATTGTGACGAAATGGCACTCAGAGACGACTAATAGCGTTCAGCTCCACCCCTTTTGGTGGGTTGAAGCACCATTGGTTCTTGCAACTCCACAAATGTAAACAAATCAGGCTTCAGTATCAGAGAAAACAGGAGTTTCCACATAAGATGTCACCGACGCAACAGGAGAGACCGATTGGGGTGAGTCTTTGCCACTGTCTCCCCAAATTGAGACCTATCATCTGGCCAAGTTTCAAGTCTCTAGGACTTACGGTTTGGTCTGCATAATAATAATAGTAATAATAATAATAATAATAATAATCCTTACAATTACAATAGGGTTTCAGCGCTTCGCGCTTGAACCTCTAAAAAAATCTGAAGAATGACATCTGGAAGAGAGAAAAAATATGAGAGTTTTACAAAAAACATAACTTAAACAAACCACAACATTAACATGCCAAACACAAACATACATACACAGCAGAAAGCACCTACATATTTATCCTTAATATTTAAGATAATATTTATAATGGGGTTTGTAAGGGTTTCATAATATATATCTAAGGTTTGTTCTTTTTAAACCAAATTAATTTTAGAAGTGAGTCTAATTCAGTTTTAAGAAGGAGAAAAGATGGAATAAGAATTGCTTTTGAATGAAAAAAATTAGCATATAGTATAAAACATGACAATAGGAGTTTACTTTTAATATCATTATACTAAAAATAATGTTTTTAAAGCTAAAAGAGTGTGTAACATTGGCGGCATCAAATATAAAAGAGCCAATCTTGGATCAAAATTGTTTGGCAGGAAGTTTATTTATGTTCGTGACTTCAGACGGAGCTGTTACAGCACTAGGCGGATATGACATCATAACCAACGCATTTGACTCTTCTTGGCTCTAAGCGCGGTCTATTGGATTTTATTAGAAATATTGTTTTTCTCTCTCTTGCGTGTGAGGTAATATACCCAAAAACTAATTTGGCATGTTTATTATATGTTTTAAGTGTACATGAAACGGACTAACGTTAAGCGTTTAGTTCTTTTACAGAGCAAAAAATATTGTGCAGGCTACACAGTTAGCTGATAGTGGAGCTAGCTGGCTAACAGTTAACCTCTTAGCGGCAATATTGCAGAAAAATATATTTAGGCAAATTAAAATGTTATGTTTAAGGATAGACTGATAGTGGTTAGATAAGCAAGCATGAAATACTCTGATTTTTCATTGATAACGTTGACTGGCACTGGAGTGCTAGAAGTACTTGACTAGTGATGCTGAATGTTTTGAAATGTGAGTGGATTATATTACTGACTTTAATTTCAGGTTTGGTGTTGATTTGTGGTCTGAGTTTTAATGGCTGCACCTGCCCTGCAACAGCCCAGTTATCTTCTGGTTAGTACTAGATTCAGCTGTTTATATATTATATTTACATTATACTTGTTTATTTCTCTTTCTAACCGTTGTGTATTTATACCTGCAGGCCAATTTAAAGGCAGACTGGACCATTAAAACTCTTCATCAAAGATGTGACGAGTTGAGCAAAATTATAGATTTCCCTGCAAAGGTATGGTTCTCTTCATTTAATACATGCAAGAATTTTATTTATTAGTACATTTATGATTAATGTTATTATTTACAGTGCTGTGATACACTTTATAGCCTAATATGGAGGACCCGTTGTGGCTTTATAACGTCCTTATTTTTGCACTCGACACAGGCAGTTTTTTGTTAGATTCATCTGAGAAATCTGATGAGGCAACTGTGCCATTGCCCATGTATTAAGATATTAAACGCAGTCATCTGCTTGGCACATGGCACTGGAACAGCTGCTGTCCTGCTGGTGCCGCTTTCCTCTCACCTTGACTCAACTCTATGCTGTCTGAATGAATGATGTTTGTTTAGTGCTGAAGATTCATTTGAGCATTTGTGCGAGCCAACATGCCTGTTCTCTTGCTTCATTTGTCTTGTGAGGCCCATGTTTACTTGGATTGCTTAGAGTACGGCATGCATGTGCCCCTGATCTTTGTATCAAAAAAATTTATAAAGTCTGGTTTGTGTTTATATGGCATATGTTTGATTAGGAGCTGCATGCAATCTTTCCCTGGTTGGTGGAGAGTGTGTTCGGGAGCCTGGATGGAATCCTTAATGGCTGGAACCTGCGGTATCTGCAGGCTCGCATGGCAGAGTACAACATTGCCGTGGACTTCCTGGGCCCAAGGTTCTTTTTATTTGGTTTATTTTGTATTATTCAGTATTTTTGTATTTGTATATGTGACTAGTATTACCACTGTTTTTCAGAGTACAAATCTGATATATACTATCATTCAAAATTATTATTATTTTTTTAATGCATGCTTTTATTAATGATGTGTTAAATTGACCAAGAGTGACATTAAAGACATTTGTAATGTTACAAAAGATTTCTATATCAAATAAATACTGTTCTTTGTTTTGAAATGTGAGTGGATTATATTACTGACTTTAATTTCAGGTTTGGTGTTGATTTGTGGTCTGAGTTTTAATGGCTGCACCTGCCCTGCAACAGCCCAGTTATCTTCTGGTTAGTACTAGATTCAGCTGTTTATATATTATATTTACATTATACTTGTTTATTTCTCTTTCTAACCGTTGTGTATTTATACCTGCAGGCCAATTTAAAGGCAGACTGGACCATTAAAACTCTTCATCAAAGATGTGACGAGTTGAGCAAAATTATAGATTTCCCTGCAAAGGTATGGTTCTCTTCATTTAATACATGCAAGAATTTTATTTATTAGTACATTTATGATTAATGTAATACACTTTATAGCCTAATATGGAGGACCCGTTGTGGCTTTATAACGTCCTTATTTTTGCACTCGACACAGGCAGTTTTTTGTTAGATTCATCTGAGAAATCTGATGAGGCAACTGTGCCATTGCCCATGTATTAAGATATTAAACGCAGTCATCTGCTTGGCACATGGCACTGGAACAGCTGCTGTCCTGCTGGTGCCGCTTTCCTCTCACCTTGACTCAACTCTATGCTGTCTGAATGAATGATGTTTGTTTAGTGCTGAAGATTCATTTGAGCATTTGTGCGAGCCAACATGCCTGTTCTCTTGCTTCATTTGTCTTGTGAGGCCCATGTTTACTTGGATTGCTTAGAGTACGGCATGCATGTGCCCCTGATCTTTGTATCAAAAAAATTTATAAAGTCTGGTTTGTGTTTATATGGCATATGTTTGATTAGGAGCTGCATGCAATCTTTCCCTGGTTGGTGGAGAGTGTGTTCGGGAGCCTGGATGGAATCCTTAATGGCTGGAACCTGCGGTATCTGCAGGCTCGCATGGCAGAGTACAACATTGCCGTGGACTTCCTGGGCCCAAGGTTCTTTTTATTTGGTTTATTTTGTATTATTCAGTATTTTTGTATTTGTATATGTGACTAGTATTACCACTGTTTTTCAGAGTACAAATCTGATATATACTATCATTCAAAATTATTATTATTTTTTTAATGCATGCTTTTATTAATGATGTGTTAAATTGACCAAGAGTGACATTAAAGACATTTGTAATGTTACAAAAGATTTCTATATCAAATAAATACTGTTCTTTTAAACTTTCTATTCATCTAAGAATCCTGAAAAAAACATGTGGCACTGAAGACTGGAGTAATGGCTGCTGAAAATTCAGCTTTGCAATCACAGGAATAAATTGCATTAAAATATAAATATTTTTAAGAATATCAAAATAGAGATATTTAAATTTTAGTAATATTTCACAATATATCTGTTTTTACTGCTTTCTTTCATAAAATAGAGCATAAGTGCTTTTTGAAAATGTAAAAACTCTTACCGACCCAAACTTTTGAATGGTTGTGTAGATATTGCACTGTTGCTCTGTTGTAAAGTAGTTTCGCTTTCACAACGAAACACACAGCGCCTTCACGAAATAGCGGCGGCAACAACAATACTACAGCTAGAATAGAAGTTACGCCTTCTTTCTTTGCGTGAACATTTGGGTGGTGTTATGCAAATCTTCCCACATAGCGAAGTAGATATGTGGAGGCTTGTTAGAACGAGCCGTTTTAGGTAGGCGTGTTTGACTCTTAACTTTTATAAAGAATATCTCTTTGGATTTGAGACTTTAGTCTTTACAACATTACAGATCTTCTTTATGCACTAAGAGCTTGTAACACTCCAAAGAGAAAGGAAAAATTTGAAACGCATCATATGACCCCTTTAAAGTATCTTTATTGTAATTGTAATTGTATTAAAATATCAGTATTCAATGTTTCACGTTTAAAATAACAAAATATTATTTATTCATTTGTAACTGCAGGTTAAATGCATTTGTCCCTCTGAGCTGAATTAAATAGTGTAAATAGGCCTACATCTAAATGCCTCTTCAGATGCAGCTTCTGTGTTTCCTCTGAATTGCAAAGATACATTTTGTTGATACTGATATCAGTTGTTTGGTAACAGCCCAAATGTCTTATTATTCTAATTGACTGATTAAATGTAAGAATTTGACTCAAAAGATGATTCACACTTTTAGAAAAAAAGGCTTTATAAGTGTAAAAATGCCCATAAAATGTACAAATCAATTTAAACTTATTGGAACAGATTCATTTCTATTCACTGCTGTGAACTGACCAGCACACAGAATATGAAGGATATCAAAAACAAGGTTTACACGCGCACACACACACCAGTACGTATAGGGACATTTTAAGAGGGTTTATTCTCCAAATAACTAATTTCATGTTGCAGAAAAATGTGTGTATGGACTCTTGTTCCAAGTTACGTTCCTGTCCACTGATTTTTGCCTCTCACAAAAGCCACAAAGCCTTCCAAGAAGACAGTAAAGGCTTATGTCATGCTTGAGCTTTAGTTAGGCTGAAACTTGAAAGTTAAGTTGCACGACAAATGCAATGTTTAGGTGTTATTATTATTTTTATTACTAATATTTTGATTTATGCCTTAGTTTTAGTTTGTACCATTTACCTTTTTTAAAGTAATGTGAAATTGATTTTTGTATTTATTTATTTATTGTATTTTTTTTTATATATTAATCTTTTTTATTGATATATTTGTATTTGCATTTTTTGAATGTAATTTGCCAATTAAATGGTTTTAGTTTTCACGGTTATTAATGTATGCAATTTCAGCAATAAAAAATTTAATTTTTCTAAAAAGAAAACAAATTAGTTGTTTATTTTAAGAGACTTATTTTATTATGTTTTGTATATTTAGTATTGCTCTGTAATAAAGAAAAATTACTTCTTATCCGATTAATCGATGGAGTAATCTGTAGAATACTCGATTACTAAAATAATCGATAGCTGCAGCCCTAGAACAGATGTTAACTATTCTTAATTGTCATTCGTGATGAGTTTACTTCATGTTTTGGCATGAACTTCATGGTTGTGTGTTTCTAAAGGTGTTTGTGGAGATGTGGCTCCATCACTATTCTCTGGAGATGTACCAGAAGCTGCAGTCTCCTCAGGTGAAGGTAAGAATGTGATCCGGGCCCTCAGACCTACACACTCCCTTCCTCCTCTGCGCACGGCTGGCTAGCTCCAACCCTTCACCCCCGCACTGCATAGGGACTGCTGCACGACACCTACCCTGACTTATGCACTCCCTCTCCCTCTGTGAGTGAGACGCATATGCTGTCTACAAATATACCCTTTGTCATTCATAGCTAGAGTGTCAATATTTGCATTTTTGTATTAAGCTTTTTTATGATGGGAATTGAAAATATTGGAATTTGATTTTAGAACTATGCTAATATAGATGGCCTCAATGTATGGCTAACAGATATAGTCTAAAAACTACAAAGTTTTGCCCTTTAAAGCTGAATCTGAACTAGTCCTTCACATTTCAACAAATGTTTTATTGCTAGTGCTGTTACACTGCTAATGTTCTGTATTTGACATAAAATGAATAGAATTTTTTTAATCACATTTTAAGCTATTATTGCTTAAATCAACATGAAATAACTAACTTTCTGAGTTTAGTAGTCATTTTAAAATTGTTCATATAAAATATTTTGATAAAAATAAGTCAGTCATTTCAGTTGTCCCAGCTTATTTCATTTTTTAAAAGATTTTTGTTGAAAAATTTGATTTTCTTGTGCAATACATGAATATAACATATATACTGTATATATATATATATATATATATACTTCTGCTAAAAGAAATACCTGAAAACCATGTTTTTTTGTTTTGTTTTATATTACCTTATTATGAATCTAATTTTGGGAGTTTTCTTACTAATCCAGTTATCAGCTTAATTTCAGATTGTGCAAACTCTTGATTTTAAATGTTAACCGAACATTAATGTCTTCTGTAGCTGGTTTTGGGTACTTCATCATCCTCTCTATCCAGTGCTAACACATTTAACCATATTGCTGGTGTATTTCATGTGAATTTGGTCATCTTGAAGTTTATTGAGGCCCCCTAGTGGTTTCAGACCCCTGCAGTTGAGAACTATTTGTGTAGAACATGAATTTGCCATGAATTTTTATTTCCTCTGTGCTCAAGGATTTACAGTTCAAATCAACCCAATGTCATATGATTGCTAAACATAGAAGGGGATAAAAGAGAAATGCAGCTTTTTAATTCACATTTATTTTGTTCTCTGTTGTTTGATGATTTGGGCGGAATAAGCATAGTACACACTGGGCATGTGATTGAAGTGGTCGAGTTATTGCTTAATGTTTGAGTCTGCATGATGCAGCCCGCTGGCTCCTTGATATGTCTTTTGTCTTTGTTCTTTGGCTGTGGGGTGTATGTAAGCTTTTGGTGTCTCTGGCTTCCGAGTCTATTTCCCTGTCCGTGTGTTATTTACAGTCAGTATTTCAATGGAAGTCTCCCTCCAGTCAGCCCAGAGCATATTAAGTCTGGCATCATTTAACATTTTTGTGGTGGAGATTATGAACTGGAAGTCACCAGTTTACTGAGAATTAGAGAAATAGTTCACCTAAAAAATGAAAAAATTCAATCATTATTTAATCACCCTCATGTTATTCCGAAGATTTATGCCGGTATTTTATTTTAACACAAAAAAAGAACTTTTCATTTAATATAACAATTTTCACATAAATAAAGGGTTATCGGTATCGGCCAAAATTTTCATATCGGTGCATCCCTAATAGACCATGATTCCTTCTGTCAATTCCAGGTGTTAAAGCTCATCCAGATTATCGCCCAAGCCCGACAGACGGCTAAACGGATATCGGATCATTCCACGGAAATGGCTGCAAACAACTCTTTTCTCTCATGGTTTAGCGTTGGTTCCTCGGATCATAACAACACTTTTAACGGAGGAGAGATGGATGATATGGGAGAGGGTGTGAAGAAAACCCATGAGTTCCTGGACAAAGCACTGGACTACCTCTGTCAGATATTCCGGGTCAGTCTATAACTGCTTTTATTAAAGATGTGTGTCATAAGCTACCGTTCAAAAGTTTGGGGTCAGTTAAAATTTCTTAAAGGGGTGGTTCACTGTTTTTTTTTCTAGGCTTGATTGTGTTTATGGGGGGCAGTGTAACATATTAATGCTTTGTTTAAAAAAAAAAAAAAAACATTATTTTTCACATAATTTACCTTAATTCCATACCGATCTGTCCCTTCTCTGAGAAACGGGCTGATCTTTTCCTGTTCTTATGAAGCCCCGCCCTCAGAAATAGGCAATGGGCTCTGATTGGTTAACTAGCCCAGTGTGTTGTGATTGGCTAAACCGCCTCTAGTGCTCGTCTAAACGTCCTGCCCCTCACCTCACCTCAGCGGCATGTGCTCCAGTTGTATTGTAAACAACGGCGTCTTTAATATCGCTTATCAGTTTGAGCCCGATTGAGATGCAGAGGATATTATTGAAGAGGATCGTGCAGAACCTGTGCAAGCACGGCTTTTAATGGTAGGCCTATGTTTTTTGTTTGTTGTTGTCTCATACTTTTAGATATGCTGTTATTTGTAAATTCTACTGCTTATGTTAGCTTTTAAAATACGGTTTTATCCTGATTAAAGCTTTAATACAGTACGGCAACTGCACGTGCGTCCATGCATAATGCTTCTCATAGATATGTGTAAATAAGTGTATAATTGGAACAGTTCATTGTTGGAGCTGAGCTGAATGAGAGAGAGAGAGAGATGCAGAGCAGGGGGTCGCGAGGAACATTATTACAGTATTAAGAACCGCTGCTTTAGAACATTGATTTTGAAACTTGTGAATCCATTAGAATCGTTAGAAGACAGAATCGCGATTAATATATGAATAGATTTTTACGTGCACCTAGGGATGTAATGGTATGAAAATTTCATATCACAATTATAGTGACCAAAGTTATCACGGTTATCAATATTATCACGGTTTTGTTCAAATTAGATGAAAACGTTCAAAAAGGACTGATACAAACACTGAAAACTTTTCAATAAGTTTTATATTTGAAAATCAACAAACAACAAATACAATTAGCAGCTACAGTATATGCACTTTTTTTAGCATAAACATTAAATTAACATTAACATGAAGCCCTAATAATAATAATAATAATAAATGACTTGAAGATCATGTGATCTTCGGTTAGGAGATCTTGTGATGCTTTTTAAAGCAAAGTTGGGGTTGATTTCGAGTTCACATACAAACATAAATAGAATAGGCTAATTAAATTTGTCTATTTTAATGTAAGACAACATATTTTTCGTCAGTTTATCTGGGTTTGTGAAGTCACTGATTCCTGTGATAGCAAAGCTAGTTTTTCAGCAGTCATTACTTCCAGTCTTCAGTGTCACATGGTCCTTCAGAAATCATTCTAATGCTCATTATCATTAAAAGGTTGTTTTTTTTCAGGATTCTTTGATGAACAGAAAGAACAGCATTTATTTGAAATAGAAACATTAGAAATGTCTTTACTAGGGCTGGGTTTTGACACAAATTTCACGATTCGATTCTCATTCATAAGCTTTCGATTAGATTCAATATCCATTCATTTGGATACATTTCAGGTACAGTGCATGCCAGATTTTCAAAGAAAAAAAATCTCTCAACTAATGCTGTAAAATATACATGAGAGTCAGTTGGTAATACATTACTATAATATTGAAGGTTAAAATTGACTGATTTGTTAAAATTACACTTAATGAAGTTTTTAAAATGTACAATTACATAATATTTCTACTTCAATTCGTTTTTTGAAATATAAACAATGGTGCTATCATAAAAACTTGATGAATTTATTCAAACATTAAATATTGAAGAACAGTAAAATGTATAATGAATATGTTATATGGTGCATATATTTAGTAAAACGCCCCCCTCTACAGTTTATTTTCTGACTAATGAGTTTATGGTCACCATATATTTTTTCTGAGGTAAATGTGACATTGTTTACAAGGCGTCTTTGCGCGGCTGATACACTGACTGAGCGATTTCATGAGACAGGATATGGATTGTCAAGTTGTACTCTTTCTTTTAACTTGCCTTCGGGTGTGTAGTCATGTTTATTTTGTGCTGAAACTGGTATTAATGTGGAGGTGATGATCAGTTCATGTGCACCTCGCGCTGCTGCGTCTGTACAGCGATCTGTCACTCCACATTAAACAGCGCCAAAACGGCATTTATTGTTTAAATGCTGTCTGCAATACAATGGACAGAATTTGAAATCTGAGACTTTTTCATATTAAAAGTACCAAGGCACAATGCTTATTGTTATTGTGATATATTGGATTGGAAGTCCCCTTCAACGTTCCGTCCATTAACTGAAAACCGGCTAGACCAGGGATCCTCAAATCTGGCCCACGAGATCCACTTTCCTGCAGAGTTTAGCTCTAACCCTAATCAAACACACCTGAGCATGCTAATCAATGTCTTCAGGATCATTAGAAAACCACAGGTAGCTGAGTTTGATCATGGTTGGAGCTAAACTTTGCAGCGCAATGGACCTCCAGGGAAAGATTTGAGGAACCCTGGGCTAGACTATTTGATTCTTGGGATTTAAGAATCGATTAATATCGAGATATCGATATTTTTTTAATTTACTGTCACTTTTGATCAATTTAATGCGTCTTTGCTGAATTAATATTCTTTAAAAAAAAATTAATCTTTCAGATCTCAGTATTTGAATGTTAATGTATATTTCATATTAAAAGTACCAAGGCACAATGCTTATTGTTATTGTGATATATTGGATTGGAAGTCCCCTTCAACGTTCCGTCCATTAACTGAAAACCGGCTAGACCAGGGATCCTCAAATCTGGCCCACGAGATCCACTTTCCTGCAGAGTTTAGCTCTAACCCTAATCAAACACACCTGAGCATGCTAATCAATGTCTTCAGGATCATTAGAAAACCACAGGTAGCTGAGTTTGATCATGGTTGGAGCTAAACTCTGCAGCGCATTGGACCTCCAGGGTAAGATTTGAGGAACCCTGGGCTAGACTGTTCGATTCTTGGGATTTAAGAATTGATTAATATCGAGATATCGATATTTTTTTACTTTACTGTCACTTTTGATCAATTTAATGAGTCTTTGCTGAATTAATATTCTTTCAAAAAAAATTAATCTTTCAGATCTCAGCATTTAATATGTATAGTTCACTTCACCTTTAATTTAGTTTCATGTTGTACAGTTGAATGCAGGGCAGCTGTCTCAGCTGATAGGCAATGTGGCATCTGTAGACGATGAAGGGGCATCTAAACAACTGCCAGACTGCATCCCGAGTGAAAATGGGCTTTTGTTAACAGACCTGGGCAGGTTGCAGGTGAGTTATAGTGTGGCGATCTTCTTCAACATATTAATTTTGTGAGTCATACCAATATTACTACAAATCTGATTTCAAATTTTACAGATCATCAATGGTCTTCGCAGATTTGAAATCGAATATCAAGGAGATCCAGAGCTTCAGCCTATCAGGAGCTACGAAAATGCTTTTTTGGTTCGACTGATGTTCCAGATCTCGTCCTTTATTAATGCAAGAGTAAGAATATTGCTTAGCCTAGAGTTTCATCCAAAATTAAACTTCATTATGGTTATTAATGTATGTGTTGATGCAGCAATGATGCACATGCATTTCACTTCAATCAAATGTGACCATATTGGTTGTGTCTTATAGTTTGGCGACCACATGGAGGTGCTGTGTTCTCGACAGGACCTCCTGGGCAGTATAGGACGACACTACTTGAGAAGTTCCTCAAAAGTGGCAGAGCAATGGCGGAAGAGTCCGGTGACACGGCAGATGAGGGAACGCCCTCAGCGAGCCCGTCTCAGCCTGCGGGTGTTAGCCAGCTATCGCACCCTCCTCATCCTCCTCCTGCTCTACATGCTGTTTGCACTACTGTCATTCAGTGTTCTCTCCAGCACTGGACTCATTCTCATCGTCAGCTTTCTATATGAGCTCCTGTTGAACTTTCTTGATGAAAAACTAAAGACTCAGTAAATAAAGATTCATGATGCCTTTTTATATTTTATTTTTTTAATGTCAATACTAAACTTCTAGCAACCTGTTCTCCAAGGTGCATGAAGGTTTTTATATACAGTATTTGCACTGCAAGTGTATTGGTACATTTAATGACAAAAAATTTAATGGGGAATGTCATGTCTAATGCACAGGGGGGTTTTTTAAATCTGTGAGTGGTGGTTAATCCAGCTTTTCAGTCATTAAATTCATTTATAATGGTGTATTTTTTTTTTGCCAATGTGACTGTCAGAACAATCCAAAGTTTGCACTTAACTCATTAAAAGGACATAATGAATGTCTAATTTGTGTACTGGATTTAGATTGCTATAGAAACACGGATGTTTATCAGGTCTCCAGGTAATTTTACACTGAGTGAATTGAGTTGATTTAAATCTGTTATATCCCAGCAATATTAGAGGAAGTAATGCTGTTACCATAGCAGCCACTACAATATAAAAAGTTCCAGTGGGAGAGGAGGAGTGAACAGTCATTGTCAGAGGCGGACAGTAACTAAGTACATTTACTTAAGTATTGTACTTCAGTACACTTTTTGAGTATCTGTACTTTACTTGAGTATTATTTTTTCTGGAAACTTGTGACTTTAACTTCACTACATTTGAAAGACAAATATTGTACTTTTCACTCCACTACATTTCTATCAAGGTCCTCGAAGTAGAAAGTCGTTAGCTTTGAAAGTCGGTGGGTGATTTTTTTTCTTCTCTAAACGCGACTTTCTGTTTTCAGACAGTTTATCAGTAATCACTCTTGTAGGGCTTAGTATTATTTTTTCTGGAAACTTGTGACTTTAACTTCACTACATTTGAAAGACAAATATTGTACTTTTCACTCCACTACATTTCTATCAAGGTCCTCGAAGTAGAAAGTCGTTAGCTTTGAAAGTCAGTGGGGGATTTTTTTTCTTCTCTAAACGCGACTTTCTGTTTTCAGACAGTTTATCAGTAATCACTCTTGTAGGGCTACATGAAGAGATTTCCCAGCATTTTTTGAGCACTGACCAGTTCCAAATGTGATATTTATTTACAACAATTCAATAAGAAGTAATATTGTGGTTTATATTAGACACAATATTGTCTGATTTTGCTAAATTGTGTAAGTGAAAATATTACCTATAAAGCCACAGAAGAACTGTTGTGCGTCTCCTAATAAAATGCAAAAGGTGTTTGACTGAAGCAGCACTACAGACCGTTCTGTGTATGACACCAAAGTACAGCGAGAGCGATTGGACACCATTTTTTTAATTTTTGTTTTGATGTCAAATAAGTCTAGCTGTTTTGCATTTTTGTGTTGCTGTTGTAAAGTTATACAGCTACAGGTGTGTTGCTGGGTTTTTAAAGCAGGTTGTCTGATTTTGCTAAATTGTGTAAGTGAAAATATTACCTATAAAGCCACAGAATAACTGTTGTGCGTCTCCTAATAAAATGCAAAAGGTGTTTGACTGAAGCAGCACTGCACAGACTGTTCTGTGTATGACACCAAAGTACAGCGAGAGCGATTAGACACGATTTTTGTAATTTTTGTTTTGATGTCAAATAAGTCTAGCTGTTTTGCATTTTTGTGTTGCTGTTGTAAAGTTATATAGCTACAGGTGTGTTGCTGGGTTTTAAAGCAGGTTTGATTTTTGATTTTCTTCCTTATCAGTCTGTATTTACAGCAATATCACTGTCCACTCTGTTCAAATGTGGATGAATGGTTACACATAGATGTGTCCAGAGCTGTGTGAGATCACTACCATCCTGCTTTTGTAGGTGTTAAATAATTATATATTTTTTTGTTTTGTTTTTTCCCCGTAGGTTTTTAACATTCTAAAAGCTCTTTATTCCAAAGATACTACAAGCTAGTCAGTGTATTGTAAGTTATTTCAGAGGTATTGCAAGTATTACATACAACAATAATAAAACAGTGCATTGACAAAGGAAATGTACTTTTGGTACTTCTGTACTTTTACTTAAGTAAAAATCTGTCTTTACAACTTTTACTTGTAATGGAGTAATATTTGACCAGCAGTATCTGTACTTTCACTCAAGTAATGGAGTTGTGTGCTTTGTCCGCCTCTGGTCATTGTAAACAAATACGCGTGACAACGTGTTAAGGCAGATTTACTTGGTAGTGATACGTCATCCGCAAGTAGACGCACGTGACGTTAAAGTATCAGTGCGTGAAGCGAGGGAAGCGAAATGGATGCGCGCGTCGCTTCACTGCGGAGGAATATTGACTTCTTACAAAAGCAGCACAGAGAAACTCTGGAGAAATTACACGGTGAAATAGATCGTGTAAAACGGGAAAATAAAGGTACATGAATGTTACATTTCCTTCTACATGTTACAGAAATAATGTTTGGGCCTTTTAATGAACGACACTAATGGGACAATTAGTGTTAGTGTGCTTCTATTAGTTGCTAACTAGTGTACAACTATTATATATTTTTGTTGTGTTTTATAGATCGTATTTGTCCGTGCACTTACAACAAACTTTATCATTCTTATTGTATTTTACGTAATTTAATTGAAAATGGTATACGATTAATTAATGTTGCCTGTTTTGCTGTTATAAGCTCTGCTTGCTTAAATGTATCAGTTAGGGAATAGTTCAGCCCATTCTGTTATCATTTACTCACACTCATGTTGTTAAAACCTGTAGGATTTTCTTTCTTTTGAAATACAAATGCAATGTTAGGCGGAATGACGGATCAGTCTCCATTCACTTTCACTGTAGGGAAGTTGCAATGAAAGTGAATGGAGACTGAGGCTGTAATCATCTCTTTTTTTTCTGCGAAAGAAAGTCATGCAGGTTTGGAGCAACACGAGGTTGAGTAAATAATGACAGAATGTGCATTTTCAGGTTTATTGAGGACGGGAGCCTGCTGCCAGGTGTATCAGAGCTGAAACTGTAGTGCAGGTTGCCTGGTGACGTCGAGTTGCTGAATGAGGAAAATGAAAGAATGGCGTTTGAAACCTCTGTGGGTGGCAAAGTATCAGATTACACAGATAAACGTTTTTTGGTGTTTTGTTTCTGACTGTCAAAAGATTGGGATACCAGATGTAATGGTATTTTGCTGAAAACAACCTGGAAGAAATGCACAAGAATTGCAGTTTTGCTGATGGTAGGGAAGAACGGGGCTAGTTGTCACAAATGCGCTGTTTGAGTCAGTTGAGTTTTAGCTCTTGGGTTAACATGCATGTCAGGGTGGGGTAAGTTGTCAAATGTTTCATTAGTTGTCATTTTTGTACCGTTCATTACTGTTTTCAGTTGGACAAAACAATAGTTTGATATTTTGTTTGACATTTACAATTTCGTTAATTTTTTATATACTTAAAAGCCATTAAATATACCATAAGGTATTTTTTTAAATATTGATATGCTTTTGAAAATGCCATAATTTAAAAATATAAATCAGCATCTTTAAAGGGGTCATATGATGCTGCTAAAAAGAACATTATTTTGTGTTTTTGGTGTAATGAAATGTGTTTATGCGGTTTAAAGTAAAAAAAAAAACACATTATTTCCTACATACTGTACATTATTGTTTCTCCTCTATGCCCCGCATTTTTTTAAACGCGTCGGTTTTTACAAAGCTCATCGGTCTGAAAAGCGAGGTGTGCTCTGATTGGTCAGCTATCCAGTGCGTTGTGATTGGCCGAATACCTCAAGCGTGTGACGGAAATGTTACGCCCCTCACCATACTGTGATGCCCTGTCAGGCCGGAGCGACGAGACAACAGTGTTGCAAACTTAGCAATTTTGTTGCTAAATTTAACAACTTTTCAGACTACCCTAGCAACTTTTTCTTCCAAAAGCACCTAGCAACAAATGTAGCTATTTTAAAATTTTATTTGGCTACTTTTAGAAACTTTTGGTAAGTGACTCAAACAATAAAAAGGCACACATTTTCCATCTAAATTTCACAAAAAGAGGAAACCAAAGATGCCTAGAAGTACATACATCACATGAATTAAATTATTGCTATTTGCAGTTGTTCGATTTGATAATAACAATAATAATTGTTTATTTATGATACACCTTGTTAGTAGCTTGTACATGTGATTGTTGATCAGTTAGTACACTGTAAGAAAAATATCTAGAAAAATGGCAAAGGAATTAATCATTTTCCAGGACATTATCCGTTATCCATTATCCGTTGTAACCCTGTAACCCGAAAACACAAAATACAATGCGTAATTTAAAATGCAGGTAAAAACCTGTGATTTATTTTCTTAAGAGTGTAGCATACTGACTACTAATACACTGCTTAAAACTATAATTGTTCAGAATGTGTAGTTTTACTAGTTTACTAGCTAATAAAAAAAACTTGTAATCGTTCAAAAATTAAATCGTTCAATGTTGTATATAAAAACTGTTATTTATATTTTAACATTATATTATGCATTTATATTATTTTACGAACAAATCTCAATCAACATATAAAATATATTTTTGCTGAGATTTGATGTAGTGACACAATTTTGCGTTGTGATTCCGTAATGATGTCATCCGTATGCATCGTGCCGCGTAAACATAAAACTCTGTCTGCATTTGTGATCAGAGAAATGACAAACAACAAGTGCTACTCTACACTGCCCAAAACTCGCGTTTGAATCATCATTGGCAAATCCTTTAAATGAAAACGTACTTACATGAGTCAGAACTGCCGGCATTTTAGTCTAACGTTACTCTCCCAGGATCAGTAAACAGTCCTCCATAAAATGTGCTGCACACATCTGGATATTTGGGTTAAACTGTTCTGGAACAGTGTTGTAAATACAACTTAACCACTGATTTGTAGTCGTGTCCTCTTTTGGAAGACCAAACAAAGTAGTTTCGCTTTCACAACGAAAAACACAGCGGCCTAGCATGAGGGGAAGCCCCGGCTTAGGGATAGAGTGAGCTGAGGTGGCGGGGTCGAGAATGGTGCGCCCGGCACATGCGACGAATGAGCAGCAACCACATGTGACAGACCCCGGGCTGGACTCCGCTTTGTCCACGGTGAAAGTTGACTTTTGGAAGACCAAACAAAGTAGTTTCGCTTTCACAACGAAGCACACAGCATCTTCACGACATGGCTGCAGCGTCAACAATACTACAGCGAGAATAAAAGTTACGCATTCTTTCTTTGCGTGAACATTTGGGCAGCG